GGCTGCGCCAAGCAGCGATAGAAAATGGTTGTGAATGTTTAACAATTAATGTAAATATCATTGTAAAATAATGTATCAGTAAATGGCTTTATTTAAAGTAACGTCCCGTTACTGCGTTTTATATGTCAAATACCCTAGACACCCACTTCAAAAGTTCAGCTTTTGTTAGACTGGTAGAGAAGTCTAACAAAAGTGTAGGTTCGACCGGGATGAATCTATTGAAACCGGCTAACTGTACAAAAATTGGGGGCTCGGCCGGGATGCATCTTTTGCAAGCGGCTAAGTCTACATAAATTTATAAAATATCGTTAAGTTTTATTAAAATATAGCACGCCAAAGAAACGCCTAATAATTATGCACCAGCTCAATATTATTTTGACATTTTCACAGATAATATTAACACATTACATTGCAGAAATACGGAATTGTGAGGTAATAATTTATTTTATTTTGGTTTAACGCCCTTAAAAGCTCCGTAAATTTACGACGTTTTCACGACGGCCGGAATTGAACTTTGGCGGTTTATCAAAGTTAAATATTACAGCGCAATTCAGCTAGAAACACAATCGTTTTTATCCAGTGATTTCGTAAGCGTCTATCTGATTTTGGGGTCATATTCTCAGGGTGTCGATGATACAAAAGATAATTTATAAATACAAAAATATTATCCTTCATTTTTTATTGGCTATCGTTATCGATAACTATGTAATCAATAACTATAATAATATTTATCTTGCATTTATGATAGGAACTTACCTATTTATATTTTCGAATTTAATGTTTTCGGCTACTTGTTTAGGGAATTGTGACATTGGAATTTGTGACTGTTGGAATTGTGACTGTTGAATTCTTTTTTGTTTTTATTTTTGGTGCATGTTGCTTAAAGTGCAGCTTTACGCGGATATTTAAGTAAAATATGGGTAACGAAAGGGATCCATTTGGCTTCCGACGAGGAATTCTTGATGTAGGAAAAGAATCAAGAAACTCACACTTTCAAAGAATTGTCGAAAGCTCGTTCAATAACATGTCAACATTAAAAGCAGAAATAAGTAAGGAAGGAAGAGTACCAAAAATCTCAGAAGAGAAAAGGGAATTTATCTTTAGGTGAAAAATAGAAAACGCTTTCCACGATGCAGTGTACGGAGATGGAAAAATTCCAAGCATAAAGTTCAGAGTGCTCGATTTGCAAGGTACAAGGTGGAAATTAAAACTGTACATTGCTCCACATTATATTTCTTCTCAAGGAAAATACTTAATAGACTGCCATTTACAGAGGTGTGCAAATTTCAGCAGATTGGAAAATACAGATGAAATAAATTTCCAACTATCATTCCTTGATTCTAATTCGAAATCCTATGAAATTGTGAGATGTATAAGAAGCAGTTTCGAGAAAGGCAAATCTGTACGGGAATCGCTTGTAATAAAAGCAAACCATCTTCAAAATAAGGATTTGACTATTTTTTGTAGAATGTGGAAGAATGGGGAAAGACCTTCCAAAATTACACACTCTCCCAAAGAACCTGGTTTAACCCTTCTAACTATTTCTTCTGTGTTTAAGGTGAATATATTGAGTCTCTTAAATGATTATGCCCCTGATGAGGAGTTTTACTTGATAGCAAATTCTCGTACACAACCCCAAATTAAACTAACGATGTTTGTCGACAGAATAAAAAAACTGGTCATGGTTAAAGTTGAAAAGTTAAATAATTCCATTAATTTATTATCCGCTGATATTTGTTCACAGACGAAATATGAAACGAGCACAGACAATGATATTGATTACAAAAGCTATGTACACGGGCTGCTTATATCTCTGAATTTAAATTCTTTATTTGATACCGAAGTCCTTTATTTTCCCAGTGATATATTGACTTTTCGATGCCGCTGTACCTTTACATCTGGATATGACTGTGAAATTATTGATGAAACTACCTGCGGACTTCACTTGCTAACCGAAATTCGTCGTGAAATTCCTCCCGAAATCCCTCAAAAATCAAAATCTAGCGTTTCCGAGGCAACATCTGACAACCCAACTGCTTTGCAAGATTTCAAAGCTCTTTTCAACGATCCAGTTCTCAGTGATGTGAAGATCATGACAAAAACGAAAACTTTCCCCGCCCACAAAATGGTGCTGTGTGCAAGGTCTGCTGTCTTCAGGGCCATGCTGACGAATGAAATGAAGGAGAAGTCGACAGAAATCATACGTATAGACGACTTGGAAGACAACATTGTGCACCTTTTTCTTCTGTTTCTCTACACAGACGGCGTAAAAAATCTGCAGTCGGATACAGTTAAAGAACTCTATTATGCTGCTGATAAATACCATGTTCCGTTGCTCAAAGAGAAATGTGCCGCCTTCATGAAGAAGAACCTCAGCATAAAAAATGCTTGCGGTCTACTGCAATTAGCCGATATCCATCAGGATTCTTGCTTGAAGACATTTGTGGAAGACTTCATTTTCCGACAACACAAAGTAATTATTGCGTCGGAGGCATGGCAAGCTTTCTCCGAAACAAATCCCATGTTAGCCTTAAAGACTGTGAATCTGATGTACAAAAAATAAGCCCTTGAATCCAGGTATGCAAATTTTTGTTATTTTTTTCAATGCGTGAAAACTACGCAACTTCATTTGTATCATTATTTTGTTTTATACATCGGCAGTAAACTTATATGTAAACTTTTTTTTTTTAAACATTCGTTCGATTTACAAATAACAGGCAATGTTTTTTATTTTTTTATTGAAGATGATTTCAGTAAATTTATAGTATTTATAAATTATTATTACAATTGTCTTATTCAATAAATTTATTTAAATGAAAATACGAATTCATACTACACGTAGAATAAACTTCTAAAACGTAGAGGGCAGACCTGTGGTTTGCTCAAATTTTTCCGTGATATATGCTAATTCTAAAAGCTATAGTGATGATAGAAAAATGTACCACTTTGAAGGAAAAAAAAAAGCAAAAATGTTGTTTCTGAAAGTCAAAGATATATTATTCCTAATCATGTAAAATTTCTGCAAAATCAGGAAAAAAAAAAAAAACCAGCTCTCTGTTCAACTTATCTTTTTGTATATATGTAATAATTTTTATATGGTAAACTTTGAAAATGATCTACTTTAAACCTGTCTAATATGTCCACAGAGCTTTAGGCGTATGGTTGACAAAAATTCCAAGCATAAAGTTTATTCCAAGGCTTCGGCAGTAAGCTTATACTGTTCGTTTAACCGCTCAAAGTTTTCACAGTTTTAAAATTTGAACATCTTTTCGATGTATGACCGCCACCAAGGGCGCCATCTGTATATCTTTTCAGCCTACACATTTATGTCAATTATCCCAGCGAATACATTAAATCTTTCATTTAGGGTTTTCTGTTTGCTTTCGAACAACATTGACTCCGAATGTTCAAGTTTTGTAATTTTTTATCCACATTTTTGAAAAAATATTTTTAATCTTGTAAGATTTTAGAGCTTTTATTCAATTCTTTCTATTAGCTCACACTCTCCCTATATATATCTTGTTCAAATTTTCTATCGTTCATAAAATACTTTTTATTCATCCACTCAAGTTTAAAAAAATGTATTTGAACTTGTAGTGGATGACACTGGATGCTAATACAGTTTTTGCAAATATTAATTCATTAATTAAATTAATTTTAGGTTTTTTTAGATTTAAGTTGCATATATCTACCAATAGATGGCGCCAGGTAAACACAAAAAAATGAATGAAATTATTTATAAAGGACTTCCTGCAATAGAGTGAAAAAAAGGTAGAAATTGACTTTAAAATTTTTTTTTACATTACTTGTTATGAACAAAACATCCCACATTTCGTTTTTCGCCATCAAATATCCCATTAAATTGACTACTTACCATTCTTCTTCTGGGGATATGTCCAAATGGAAAGCACCGGTTAAAAGTATGGATTTTGGCGTCTTGACGCCAAGTTGCCAAGACGCCATGTATGTTTATTAATGGTTCCGAATCCACTTTAAAACCGTAAATCCCCGTCTGGTAGGCTGTGTTAGGCGTAAGGCTGACAACTTTATCCCTTGAAAAGAAAAAAAAATCTCGAAATCTGCTAGCAAGTAGACAGACTTGGCATACCACGTGGCTGTTGTGCCAATAAAGAAGGAGATATTTTAAAATGTTTAATTGCTCATTCATTGATCGTATGCATTGCGTTCTTGTTTCAAAAAATATACGCTAATTTTTCGCATTTGCGTTACCCGCAATATTATTCCCAATTTCTTCCGCACATTGGCAACATTTTCCCTTGGTTATTGAATAGTTCAGAAACTAAAAATGTTTCATTTTTTTCTCATCAAGTGGGGCCTGAATGGCCGTGTGGCTAGTGGTCTGGCGCTCAGTACCACATGTTTCAGGTTCGAGTCCCGGCGGTGCCATGGATGTTTGTAGGGGTTCGGAATTCACCTTAAACCGTAGGTCCCGGTCTAATATGATGGTAGAACGTTGCGAGGGTATTGTTTCTCCGCTTCCGTGGCTTACCTTCAAGTTACACACGCCCTCTTGGTAATGCGAAGTGAGTAACATCTGTGCAGCGCTTGCCTTAAGGCATCCAAGACAGCTGTCTAAGTGGTTGCCAGTTGCATTAGAAAAAAAATCCTTATCAAGTTTGGTTTGATCTGTAGTTTTGGTTCTTACAGTCATTTTGTGTACACTTAGGGCTAATTAAATCGGAACCTACAGTTTAACGAGGATTCCGGACCACTCACAAGTATCCATGTCCCCGCCGGGATATGAACCTGCAGCCAAAGTACCAAAGGCCAGATGTCTAGCCAATTGATCATGAGACCGTCCTCATGAGGAGGAAGTAGATGACTAAATGATTACCACATTGCTTTAAATATCGGAATATTCTTAATTTTGCAATTCCATAACGGTGTGCTTTTCAATTTCAATTTTATTTCTTTCGACATGGTGTTTATCCATCTTACAACAAGAAAGCTAGCTTACAAGAAAAGCTTACAAAAATATATCCAGTTCTCGTTAGATCACCGAAGTCAAGCATCATTGGGCGCGGTCAGTACTTGGGTGGGGGACCACCTGGGAACACCGCGTGCCGTTGGCATTCACAGATTTGGGACCTGAGTGACCGAGTGTCTAGCGCTCTGGCGCTCGGTGCCACAGGTTTCGGGTTCGAGTCCCGGCGGTGCCATGGATGTTTGTAGTGGTTCGGAATCCACTTTAAGCCATAGGTCCCGGTCTCCTATGACTGTAAGAGCGTCACGGAGCCAAAATCAGGCTTCTACCTACGGGATGCTCCATCACAACAGAAGCTGCTTCCTTCCCCTTCAATCATAAGTACGTATGGGCTCGTGGGCTTGGCCAGCCAAGTGGGATAAGAAACAACAAACAGTACAATAAGAAAAGGCAGGAAGGGGAAAAGGTACAAAGTTCACTCCTGGCAGACCAACAACCTGATAAATTATCACAGTTCGCGGCATCAAACCTGTACCAGTACGTTCAACTCCCAAGCATGCTGTACTGAACAATTTCATCACCTTCAAATTTGGATCTATTTATGGTTACAAATGTTTAAACTGTAACTGTCTACTATAAAATGTTTGAAAAGGAGATTTATATTTCTTTTCATTTTTTTTAATTTTTATATTTCTTTTCATTTTTTCATATAGACATTTATTAAAACTCAATTTTTTGATACTGATAAGTTTTATGAATAAGACATCACATATTAAGTTATTAAATTATATGCGCTTATGTTTAGGATTATTGAAACTTTATTTATATGATTTTTTTTTCTAGTTGTTCCCGTTTTAGCTCTTCTTTGGTGTGATTGACAGTGTGTGAAAATCTCAGTCTGTTTACGGAGTTTAAGATATAAATTCAGTAAAATATAACAAAATAATTTTTTTTTCATGTACATATATAGATATAGATAGATATATTGTTAATCAAGTCTAATATATATAAAAAAAAATGAAAATTTGAATAAGTCATTTCTTGTTGTACTCCAAGTACCATATATTCTTGTAATCCAACTGTTTTTACACTTATTCAGAATCAATTAACAAACTACTTTCGAGTTGCAAATATATCCATTAATACAAAAATATTCTAGAGCCAGCCACGTAAATATGTATATTGATATTGTAATGATCCATAACGTACATCAATCAATATCACAAATATGGATATTGTAAGAATTTATCGTTTCTTTTGTTGTATCATATGGTCATCATGTACATGTTTATCATCATAAATCTTTATATATGTATCATATGTATCGTATTATACACAGTCCAGTCACATTAATGTGACCACCTGTGAAAAGCCAGAATAACCACCTTTGGTAGAGCGGACCGCTGCTACGTTTCTGCATTACACCAACGATTAAAATGCTTTCCGATGCCCTAGGACATCCTTTATATACACTCCACTGCAATGTGCTGTCACCTGCCTTTCGTGATTTTATTCACGTTGACGTCGAAAGTAGGTGGTGGTCACATTAATGTGCCTGGACTGTATGTATATCAAATGTATGGATATCTACCATCCAATAATACACAAAACTTCTTAAGTAAATCTTTATGTATATCGATATTGTAATATTTTATAATATACATCAATCAATATCATAAATATGGATATTGTAATATTTTATCTTTCATTTCGATACATCAAACGTTTATCATATATAATAAACGAATTATGGATATTAATTAATTTTTTTATATATTTTCCTTCTTACTGTAAATTTCCTTTAACAATTGTAAGTTATTTTACAATATTATTATTATTGATATTTTAATGTATTTTATATATTTTGTAATTCATCATATTAGATACCAATAAAAATTGATTAAACAATACAGAGAGTTTAAAAAGCATCGTTGTATGTCATTTTCACGCACTAACGATAAACATTAACATAAATTCATAAGTGTGCAGGTTCCTTTAAATAAAATGTGATTCAATATAAAACAGTCATAATATTTTTATTTCAATGTTACTTGTTCAAATTAATCATAATCGAAACACTCTTGCTAAATGATAATAACAATATAATGATAAACAGAGTTCATAAAATCCTAAGAGTGCAGATGCTTTTAAATAAAACTTGATTCCATACAAACAGTCATAATACTTTTATTTCAGTGTTACTTGTTTAAATTAATCGTTATCAAAAAAGCT